ACCTGAATCAATTGAACACAGTTCTTGATGAAAAGTTTCCCGGTTCTGGCGGCCAAGGTGAGCCCTCTATAGACCCCGGCCAGGACAGCTGAACCCCAGTTGTACTGCTTGATCTCATCGATCTCGAGCAAGGGCTGCATCCAGTACAGCATGACCCCATTCGCCCTATGATCGGGGAAGAAAAATGACCCGATACACCAGAGTATAAGCGCCCTCGCCCTCTCTTCGTAGCGAGAGGGGTGCTCTTCATTTGTTAGCTGCCTATAGCACTCCTTTTCAATTGCCGAGGTCTTCAAAAACTGGCCTGTAAGTTCCGGGGTGCCCTCCGGGTCGTCATCAGCCTGAGAGTGTTATATATATATTGAAAATTAATTAATGGAATAAACAAAAAAAAATATAGGAAAAAAATTACCTTGACTGAGGGCTCGAACCCTAGATAATCGACACAGTGTTCTTGCCATTCGTGGGGTTCGTGGTCCATTGTTTGTCCCCAACACGGCGCTCCATCGACCGGGAGACCAAAAAGGACTTATACGTCCTGCAGCGTTATTGTAGCCTCCCCGAAGTCAAAGTGGAAGGTGTTCGTCTCCGGACGCCACCTCTCCACTAGACATGTAATCAAGCTGTTCTCCGTCGATATTCGGCCCATTCTGAAAAGCGGCCCGAAACCGGTCCTTTCGATCACCTCCCATACTTTGTAATGTTGTACCTCCAACGCCTTCCAAAACTGAGTGTCGAAACGGCGGGTTTTAATTGCGCCGTGACGATATCCCTCTAGATCGTCGTATACAGCTTGCGACTGGTGGTTGTCCTGAAGGTAAAGAAGGGATCGATCCATCGGACCGGGATGGACGGTGTAGCGCTGCGGCTGTGAGGAGGATGCCATTTTCTACAAAAAAAAAGAAAAAAAAAATCATTACATATAAGAAAGCTTAATTTAGAACAAAATAAAAAAAATAGACGAACCATCACAAAACAAGGCTAACATAATCGAAACGAACCGTTCAAATCATCCAACTACAAGCAATTATGTACAACAATCCATTGAGGCATTTTATCGAACACCTTCAATTCATAGTTTTCCAAACAAACTACAAAACTCTAATAAATTTCAAAATAACCCATCAATTATCACACAAACATATCAACAATTCATCAACATATCTCAATCATTACAAATTCACAAATTAAATATCAAAACAAATGAAAAATAGAAAAAAATGTTAACCCTAACATCATGTTTTTGTTACAAACACACCATCTATATCTCAATTCAACCTTCAAATCGTGAAAATAGACAAAAAAATGACAAGAAATGGTACCTTGTTTGATGAGTTTGGTGTTGAACTTGTCGAACTTGTTGAACTTCTGCCCGCGCTCTCTCTCTTTTTTTTTTTTTTTT